CTAAGCTCGGGAGAATGGGAAAACTAACCTTATTTAGGAGCTCTGAATCCTCTTGTCTTTCGTAACCTTGGCCATCCTAACCTGGAGATCTGTGCTTCAAAAGTTATAGTTCATGGTGTCCAAACTCAGTCTCATGAAAGCATAAAAACAGCCACCACAGAAGCTGTTCATTTAGCGCTGCTTGAGCAAACAAAAGCCCGTGCCCTTAGTTATGAAGTCTAGGGGGGTCCGCTGCAGGCTTACAGAGATTGAGCCGTAAGTCGGTGCTGTGTGAATTCCAAGTGACCTTAGTCAAATTATCAGTTCCCCCATCACAAAATCAAAGCGTTTCAGGAAATAACCTCACAAAGGCCCACCAAAATCTAAAACCCTGTGACTCTTTTTACCAAACGGCCATTTCCAATCTATCTTGAGCAAAAGCTGCCCAACAATTCCCCTAAACACCAGCTTTCGTGTTAGCTCTTATTGAAGAATCCGAATAATTTCCTAGGACCTCTTACAAAATTTTTTATTCCGTGTCAAAACATCCATAGACAGGCTTTCCTCACCTACATACCCTCACTGCACTGTACCACGGTGCTGGGGATCTAACCCAGGGCGGAACACACGCCCAGCCCCCACCCCTACTCCCATTTCCAACTAGGCGGTATACTTCTGCTCCAGGCCGGCCTCCCCAGTGTCTCCGTTTCACAGGACACAGTTCCCACCTCCTGGGCTTTTTTTTTTTGGTCTTGTTACCTCTCACCACGGACCCAGCCAGGAATACTAAGTTCTCCTTCCTAGGGCTGAGCCTGGCGACTTCACTGAGCTCACGATTGTATGCAACAGTCTTTTCAATTGTCCTTTTCTTCAGTCACCACGAATGGACGAAGTCTTTGCGAGATATGCGATACAGGGAAGAGCTACGGCTCTAGGGGCACGTGACATCTGAGCCTTTGCCAGCCGCGCGCTCTGGGACTGCTTCTCGGCTACTTCCCTGGACTTCACCTGGGGCACGGACAGTGCCTCGCAGCCGCCGGACCGACCGATCGCGCGCCGCGGACATCGGGTGTGCAGTCACCCAAGGGCCGGCCGCCGCCCACCAGGCGTCTGCCCGCCCGGCTTCGCGCGCCCCGCAGATTCCCGGGCCCTCCACTCGCAGCCCGGGGCGCCGCCTGGGCCTCCACCGCACCCCTCTCCGCCCGCCGGGCCGACCCCGCCGCAGGAGCGCTGCGCAGAGGCCCGCGAGCCGGTGTCGCCGTGCAGGGCCGAAAGCCACTCACCCGGCTCCGGACCCGAGAGATGGGGCCGCCGTGCACGGATACGGGCGGCAGCGACAGCAACGACAAGGGGGCTGTGGCCGGACTGTCTCGGCACCCGCACTTCCTGCCGGGAGGGGCGGGGCGGAAGTCGCGCCGGAAGGCGGGCGAGCCCAACTGCGCAGGGGGGCACGCCCGGGTCTCGGGGCCGAGCGTGCGCCGCGCTGGGGACCGCCCA